TAGATTAGACTGGCCTAGATTAGTGGCCTAGACTGCAGTCTAGTATGTGCTTGGGCACAGCAGCACATGAGCGATTTACGACCCACGAAGTGTACACGGTCAGTGGCAATGGCACCCCGCCCTCCCCTCCGCATGGACGCCACTGCGATAGCTGTCTTCTCCCGTGCACCGCTGGCCCTTTCTGTTCACATTTTAGGTGCCCACGCCAGAGAACGACGCTGCAAGGGAAAGACGGGCCGACGCTGGATCACATATAGCCTTGACGCTAAAGTCAGAGAACTCTGAAGATCAACAAATGGCATCAATTTAACGTCATGCACGCCTTGGTCTCTATGGCCACAGTACGGGCCACTCAGTCTCCATCTGGACAGCTTCACCTTGGAGGCCACGTTACAGAATTTGGAGGCTGGTTAAATCCTTGAATTTAGATAATCTATTAATCCCTTTATCTACTAAATACTAAAGTATAATCATCATCATCATCATTACCAATTTTACATAGCCATTAAAGGAGGTAGCCGTCAACTTCCTGTTTTGCAAAATTTCACAAGTGCTGCTGCATCCGAGTGGAGGCCACGCCAAATTGACACGCAAAATTCATGAGCGATGCTGCGTCAGCGCCTGTGGCGCACGCATCTGCAGGCGCCCAGCCACAGCCCAAAGACAGTCGCACAGCCCCTTGAGCGATGGGCGCCCTCGCTGGGACCGTGGGCCCCTTGGGGCCCGCGGCGGCCGCCGGCGGAGCCCCGGCCGCTGCCGCTCAAACGAAGCCCTACGCGATTTCGGTGCCTCCCGTGGACCTGGACAAAATAGTCAACCTGTTCCTTGGGGAGCACTCCGAGGATATGTTCGAGCGGCACCGCGCGGCGGTGGTGCGAATGTGCAGGCAGAACGACGGGGGCTTCGCCATGAGGGACCTGCCCAAGGTGCAGAGGATCCTGGAGCTGAGCTTGGCGCTCGTGGAAAGGGGGGTGCCGCAGCTGGAGGAGGCGGTCTGCCACGTTCTGCGGTAGGACCGGGAGCTGGTGGGTTTTCAACCGCCCGGTTGCGTGCAGATGATCCTTTGCAATACACGGGGCTGGGTTGGGTGGGTTTGTGGGGGGGGAGATGGTGATTGTGCGAAAGTGGCGCCATAATGCTATCCCTGACGATGTTGAAGTAAGTTCCAGTATCAAAGCCGCTGCGCCCGCAGGCAAGGGGATTTGGTCCAGCTCCTTCCTTTCACTGTGGAATTCCTCTGACGGTTCAATTTATGTGATGAAAGTTGGGCGTGGAATTCCGTTGTATGAATACCACGGCGCAGCTCATTAAATAGTATTGACTTGCCAGCGCTGCAGCCACAAATGAGCTTAACTTTACGTTTAATGAGTCAAATTCATTTGGTACAAGCGACGTTATGCGTGAATTCGATCGGGATTGATGATATTTTAAAATAGTTTTTTATCGTTCCGGCATGACAAAAAATTTTGCGCTGACGCGATGCGCAATGGCACTTTTATAAACACTTTGAAAGGGCGATATTCGGTGAAGACAAAATTGCTGCGCAATGTAGTACGCCTTCAAGAAAAATGCCTGTATCTCCAACGAGCTCTAGGACGCGAAATGAATGGAATTCTGCTTGCGAATTCTTGCCGACCATCATGCACCAGTAGGAAAAGACACATACACTAGCGCAAAAAGAACCAAATAACATTTTCTCGAACACATATATATGCATTTTATTAGTGTTATGCATGCCAAAAACACGAAAATAACCCAAACCCGTAACACTTGTACACGTTTGAACACATGTTATTGGGACTTTATTCCCAGTGATATGTGATGCAAGCTGCGATGCCATTTGACACTAATTGGCGACATCGCACCTGTTTTTCTACCATCGCAATCACTGTGACAGCGCCACTTTGTGTCAAAATGGCATCGCAGTTGGAATCGCGAGCATGATGTTTTCTCGTAGTGATGCCTTTGGTTCAAGGCCTGTGGGATGAGAGACATGGCATTCTTTTGAGCCACAATTCCACACCGAGATGCCGTCCGCCGCACAAACGCACTTCTGTGCGTCCATGCTTTGCAGCACAGCGAGTTTGCCATTCGTGCGGCGGACAAGCACGGACGACTTCAAAATGCTGAACAACATATCCGACTTCCTTGCGGCAATAGGGAAGCTCCTGTCTGGTGGGTTCCCACATCAGCTGAAGCTTTGCGGAGCGGAGGTGTGCTATCTTGCCGTGTTGGCCATGTGCTTTCCTTCGGATTGATCTGGATTCTGTGGAACATAAAAGATTGATACTCCGGTTGATGATTTAACAGGTCAGCGTATTGTGAAATCTATCGTCAGGTTCGAACTCTGCCGCAATGCATGATTCAGGAGATTGAAGCAGTTTTGGCTGACGTATTAAACAGCATGTATAGATGGTAAATGCAATATTGTACATATAAGGAACTCGCTATGTGGACATCATTATGCCTAGCCTCCACGCGATGCTCATCCTGAAAAGGGGTTTGGTTGTGGCGGGTGGGGTGGGTGCACAGCGGGCTCTGAACTTCACAAATGATTTGAAACTGGGCTCATCAAATCGACACAGTATGTTCACGCGCATATTTAAATGCGTGCGGATACTGGCATATATCAATATATGCCAAAATTCTTACGACTTGTCGTGCAGGGTTTTCGTCACTTAACTAACGCAAACAAATGGATTTACGGTCTGTCTTTGGTTCCTCACACAAGGCGCGCAATCTTAGTCATTGGTTTGCCGCTGAGGACAGCGCATGACCAACGCAAACGAGATGATTGCGATTTCGACCATGTTTCATGGACAGAAATGAAGAGCAACCGCTGCGTGGGGCTGAGGGGAGTGAACCAATATTTGCCGGCGCCGCCAGGTTACCTGAAAAGAAATGAAATATCTGAATATCTGTTGGTGAATTTGGTGCACGAGCAAATATCAGACCGTCCATAACATGAAGCTGATTCATGTACCTTTGAGCAACTTTACAGCCAGCCCGTCACTGTCCGCAGATGTTGTCCTCGTTCTCGCGTGGCTGCAGCAACTTTCCATCATCGGATGGTCCCCACAGCCAGCGTGTACGGACGGCGGCTTCAAAACAGTATTATGCCAACCAGAGGTGAGTAAATCACTTGTTTCCCCCAATTTTTGCCTCATAAACTAGGGAATAAATGGTCCAAATAACACGTGTTCGAACTTGTACAGAGTTTACAGGTCTGGGTTATTTGTGTTCTTAGCGTGCAGAGCTTTGATGAAATGTGCTTTATGTGTGTTTGAAAAAGTGTTATTTGGTCCTTTCCTTGCTAGTGATAATGTTTTCAGCGTCAGGGCCACTGCAGAACTCGTGAGCTACGCTCATAGAGAGTGAGAATGCAGGCATTCCGTTTTGCTGACGCACCCATGTGCGCCTATCCCTTCTTCCGCCACATCCATTCATTCTTTTCAGATTGGAAACATGGTCTCATGCCTTGCAGCAATCTGAATAAGTTTTAGGCAAAAGGTACAGTGCAGTTGGGCGTGAAATTTGAATTGGTGGATCAGCATATAGATCCAAATGACATCTGTCGTCTGTTCGCGCATCAGTCTGATACACAGGAGCAACCTTATCGCCGACACCATCCAGGGAATGTCCCTAGCGTTGTCCCAAGGACATCGAGACTTGGTCCTTGCGCTGACGCGCACGATGGCGGATTTCTCTGGAACCGCCGAGAACTGCGCTCGTCTGGTTGACTGCGGCGTCATGCACCTCCTCCCCACGATCCTGGACACCGACGTCCGCTCACCGGTGGTCTACGCAAGCATAGGCCTCGCATGGAGCATCCTTCGGCAGGTGCCGGACGGCTACGATATCTGTGCATCCCAGCCCCCGTACAGGGACGTGCCTCCGGGTTCTCTCGGCTCTCAACATGGAGACGCACCGCCCAGTGCCGCAGAAGGCAGTGAAGAGAAATGCGACTTGTCGGAAAGTAGTGCGAGTCCTTGCGAGAGGATTGGAGATGAGGGCATTTCTCTGGGTGCCCGGGAGTCCGCCGGGACGGGCGATGGTGGCGACGAGGAAAATCGCACTTCCAACGGCAGTGGTGGAGGAAGCAATCCAGATGCAACCCAGGGAGAGGGTGGCTGGTGCAAGGAGGCCCGTGATTTTTCAGATTCGGCGGCAGCGGCAGAATGTGGGGGCCCTCATTTGCATGCGCCGTCAGCCATGAAAGCGCTGAGCAGCGTGCTCACCAGGCACTTCAAGGCCATCCTGAAAGAGGGATATAAGAGCGACGACAGGAAGTTGCGAAATGACATATTGATCGTCATTTCTCTCCTTACGAGAGCACCTGATTTCTGTTCGGCGTTTCTAGATGAGGGATTCGTGAAGTGCGCACTGGCCTTCCTGTTCGAGATGGAGGGTGTGGGAGCATCCACGACGGATTCCACATTCCCAGGAATGCCTGATGCTAAAGGCAGCGAAGATTTTGAGCTTCTAGTGCTTTTGAGGAACACGCTGACATCGATGTGCAAACACCCCGACTGCCGGGGCTTCGCTATTGAACAAGGTTTGATCAATTAAAAGTCTCCAGGACACTAGGGGGAATCCCTATTATTTTAATCATCACATCTTCCGCTTAACTTCGCACTCGTAGAAATTTCGAGATGTCGTTTTTCAGGAGCTCAAATAGGAGCATCACCCGTTCTGGAAATTCGGCGCTCCCAAATCAGGAATGCCAGTCTGCTTCATATCACCTCAAACAAAGCCTGAAATTCACTTCCATGCCCCGTGCGTTGAAAGGCAGTCAAGAATGGGCTCGCCAGACAGCATTATCGGAATGGGCGAGGCAGCTGCTACTCGCATCTTGCCAACTCACATAATTTCGCTGCCTACTGGATGCAGGCTTCTTCCTTGTGTTCCTTCACGACATATCATCCGCCACCGACTCCTTTCCAAGACGGAGATGGAACCACGAACAACACCACTGGATTTTGCAGCAGGCCCTCCAGTGCATGACGACTCTTGTATCCAGATGCCCTTCAAACTTCGTATCCTGCAATGGAGTGAGCGCTGTCTTGAGGTTCATCCAGGATTGCTGGGACCACGACCTGCTGGTGTCCGCCCTGATACTAATTCAATCCGCGGTTTCCGCAAGCCGGGACTTGCAGAGCGATTTCGGATCCGATGAAGGCATGAGGGCCGTTCTCATGTGCCTGAGCAACACGGCATCGCCGGAGGATGTGAGACTGTCGGCCGTGCTGGTGGCGTCTCAGCTGTGCCGTGGTGAGCAGTCACAGCATCTTTTGGCCAACGCGTCCAAGAACTAGTGGACTGGCAGCACCGCCATGGGAGAATAATTCAATTTAATATGTCTGAACGAACGTCACTTGTATCTGAACACACTGCGAATCTCTATGCCAAGCGTTGGATCCTGTTATTCAGCTGTATGCGCTCCTTCAATGCACTTCCGATGCAGTTGATTGAGCATCTTTCCCGGAAATCATCTTTTCAAGTCTATTCAGACAGGCTATTGGATCCCAGAATTTGCAATTTCCATCACGCTTTAAGAGCGTAACGCCCTCGGCAAATGATTGTGCTGCATGCGGCACAAGCGTATGTACGTACGCTCTCAGCTTTGCCGCGCTGGCAACAATGCTTTTCACCTGTTGAGTCCTCTCAGGTCACGAGGCCAATCAAAGACGCTTCGCCAATCAGCGCGGTCTGCCTTTCTTGATATCCGATCTGGAGCGCCTCAAATCGCTGGACCCAACGCTGCCGTCGCCCTACGCAATAGCCGCTTTTAGGCTGGTGTGGGAGGCGGTCGTCGCCAATCCTCGCAATTTGGCCCGATTCTCAATGGCGGGAGGTATCGACAGTCTGCTCGACTTGGTGGAGTTGGGAAACACGTGCCACAAGCCGACCCTCCTGAGCCTTCTGTCTGACATTTTTGAGCGTCGGGAAACCCACCGGTTCTTCCACGAGTGGCGGTCCAGCGTTTCCGGACAGACGGCCTCAGAAATGCTGATAGGAATGTGGAGGGAGGCCGAAGACATGAAAGGAGTTACATGCGATGGAATGGTCTTCAACACCAAGAGGCCCCTTGCGGGGTCTGGAGTCCAAACCAAGTCGGCGCCAAAGGTGGCACTGGTTTATGTTCAGCTTTGTGGCCCGCGTATAGAAATTGACTCTGCCAATGGCGCTTACCGGTTTACTGGGCTTTATAGTCTATGCACATTCTGAGCGTTCTGTTTGGTTTGTGAACAAATAGAACATGAGCTCCAAAGGGGCTTGTGTTTTAATAATAATAATTGGCTCCAAAGGGGCTTGTGTTTTAATAATAATTTTAATAAAGCTTTTCGCTGTGTAGATGGGAGTTGGATATCAATGGTACCCGCGGCATACTAGTGGTGCAGCACTGGTGAAAAATTGGGCCAAAAACTGTGGGCATTGCCCGTTCATTACTGAGGTGCAGTATTATGCAACTTGAAACGATCAAAACGCGGGATACATGTATCATGCTTGCCTTCCTCTACAGCTCCACTCCGTAACCGTTACAAAGAAATGCAATTTAGCGATCGCATGCTATTGAAAGCACATGTACCTCACTAGCACCATGTGCGGCGGTGGAGAAGTTTCTGTTGCATTTTGGCTGGCTAATCGGTGTTGGAAAGGAGTCCATTTCTGTGTGTTTATTGAACAGGAGGCTGTGGTGTACGGCGTCTTGCAGTCAGAAAGATCGAAGGACATGCAATTTCTCCACAAAGTTCTCGACCCAGACAACATGCTGAACAAAATTTTTGTTCTGCTGGAATCCATCGGGTTCGATTGCCTTCATCCATCGAGCGCCAGAGACGAGTCCGCCATTTGTTTCATTGAGAAATACGTCAAATTCCGTCAAGGCGAGATCTGGCAGGACATCCATAAGGAATTTTCGAAGACCGGGTTGAAACCAACGGCGCCTGATAGGTACAGTGAGCTCGAGTTGACAATGGATTGCGAAAATGATTGCGCCACGCCGTACTTCATCGTAGGTGGGACGCGCCTTGTCACAACGTGGTGGACCTTGCAAAATGTGCAGTACACGACTGAGAATACAGCATCCATGACAAGGCTTGCATTGTGCCGCAATGGCAGTAGATCTCATTGATAATTCAATGACCAGGTTGCTGCTTTTCATATTAGCAATACCGGAACTTGCCCTGCTGCTGTAAGCGGGGATCTTTGCGGCATTTTAATCCTATACAATGCAGCCAACGGGCGTCCATGACGTGAATTTGGATACTTCGGCATTCCAGTGACGTGTGCACACACCTACACAGTTTCCTCACCTAATCGGGCCCATGACCCGCAGGGAGCGCCTCTCGGCGGGCATTGTCAATGCCGAGAACCTAGCCGTAAGCATCAAGGAGCGGCAGATGCAGCTTCTCCGGAGGCACGCGGAGGAGAAGCGCGCCCACGAACGCAGGCTGTACGCCAACATGATGGCGCAGAGGAAGGCCGACGCGGAGGCTCGCTTCTTCCAAAAGGACCTGTCCCAGCTGACCATGAAGGAGCGCATGGAGGCCAAACTTAAAAAGGAAGAAATGCTCACGAACAGCATAAGGGTCGCCCAGACGGAGTGCTGCTCTGGCTCCTCGGGCGATGATCCACACGATGCTGCTGACAATGGGCAGTCATTGGAGGACACTGGGAATTTCGGGACTACAGCCGCATATGGCTGAGCCTCACGCATCGAGCAGTTTCTGTGTCTGGGCCACTGCCACAGGTCTCATTGGCGCGACCGAGTGCCAAAGGTTTTGCTGCAATGTACCGTGTTTATATTATGCCATTGCTTCATGAAAAGCGTCTTGTTGAAGCAGTTCTGGAGTTTGATCAATCAATACATTGTGCAGATATTAGAGAAAAATATAGCGCATGCGCAATGGCATTGACACCAACCAGAAATATGCATCGAATGGTTATTGTGAAGGTGGGGCCAACTCGGCATTCCCTTCTGAGTCCTAGGACTGCGCCAATGGCGCGTCAGTGGCGCTTTGGAGCACCTGTGGTGCTGGCCGTGGATTTCCGAATATGTGGGTGACGGGATGGACTGAGGCAGGGACCTATGTGGAGTTCCTCGGAACGCAAATGCGTTGTCTTTCAAGACTCTTTGTTTCGAAACGTTGGAGTTTACGTACAAATGGTCGAAAACGCCAATCTGTATCCAGATTCAATATACCTCAGGGGTGGGCATAAGGTTAGAACGGCTAAGATTATGTATCTGATGCCAAGCATACACGGATACATCTGTGGCGATTTGGGTACGTACAGCTATCGGCGTAGTTTGGTCCCTTGGTAACATCACCGCTATGTTTCCTAGCAGGGATGTAAATTCGGCTAGAGTGCTATAGCGAATGCCCGGGAATATCACCAAATTCATTCAAATATTCTCGGGCCCGTGCATCATGAATGATTATGATCGGCACTCTTACAAGAATGTACACCAAGGGCTCCCATGTGCCATAGCGTGGGGCACTTTGAACACTTTGCCATCTTTTGTGGAAGATCAGGATCTGCTGCAACAAATATTGTATATTTGTCGTGTGAAGGGGAGTACACAACTTAGTGACGTACTTTATGAGGAAAGTTATGGCCATTTGCATCAGAGAGGCAGACGACTGAAATGTCTCTGGATCAGGGTTGTTCTTTACGTTCACGTTTACGTTGTTGCGTTTACGTTTTTACACGCAATAACATAAGTTTGCAAAAGAAGGTGTTTTTGCGGCTGTTTTCACGTTTTTGCGGCTCGTTGTGACACCCAGCTTACACGATGAAAGTTGCTTGCAGTGATCAGTACTCCGCCCCTTTGAGCGCCCGCAACACAGCGTCCGCTTCCCACCCGGCAAGGGCCACGATGGAGTGGAGCAAAATTCGTTCTCTGCCCACTACAGTGCGTCTGCATGCTATTCCTCGGAGTCTCGAAAGCTGCATGTACTGTCCATGTGTACACGGGGCTGTTTATACATTGTACTTACGTATTTTTATGCATTTTTGCGCGTACAAATGCAAATACGATCAGTGTTTACGGCGTAAATAGCAAGTCTGTCTGGATCATCCGCATCAATTTATGTGACGGCCTTTGTACATCATTGGAGAAAAATTTCCTCAATTTCTTCTGGAGCCGGCACAGAGCCGCCTGCATGAAAATGTTGGGGCAATCAATTGATTGCCCTTGCAAGGAAATCACAGCGTTCATTTCCCCACAGTTCCACAGCGCGTACATCGCGGAAGTCTCTGCCGTTTCTATGGTGATTGAAGTTTCACCAATACGTGGATCTCAGCCCATAAGTGTTCTTGGTTTTGTATCAGACGCTGCTTGTGCTACAAACCACATTTGAAGCCGCGTCTATCCCTGCGCCAAATCGATTTCCTTTCCCTAGAAGCAAGCATTACGTGACGTGAATTATTGACGTGGCGGCAGCCACCTCCTGTGCATAATTCGCGTGTCGACAGAATCCTCTGATAGTCCCCTAATGTACACCTTGCTTCATACATTTGCATTGATTCTTGTGTTGTACTGCCAGTACAAGCTGCAGCGATACTGCAGGGATAAAGGGGTTCGGGTAGCGGGGCCCCTTCATCATGAACAAAAGGGCTTTCCGCTATATGTAGCATCACTGTAACAGAGGCACAGTTAAATGACATCGAATAATGATTGCGTGACTCCTATCGAAACTGTCCCATCTTTTGCCGAATATGTCGCTTGTAAGCGATATATTCAGTAATTACAGTAATTATGACCATAAATGGCCTTCCCGATGCAATGCTAGTCATTCCGGAGCAAGACAAACTGGGCGTTATCTCACCATTCGTTGTGGGGCGAGAACTCAAACATCCAACGTTGCTGTCACGCATCCCCCAGGCCAAAGGAGCACATGGGCAATGAGAATTTAGGCTTGCGACTTGTGGCAATTTCATTAGCAGCAACGCAAGCACACAAAAAGGCAGTCGTAGATTTCGCTTAATTTCTCTGATACATTGATTTTCAAAAAGCGTACTTCGGATAGTTCGTTTTTGATGTGCAGATCAATTGTTTGGCGATCAAAAGCACAGCGACCATCAATGGTCAAAAATGACGTCTTTTCCACAAACTTGATATGGCATCGTCCCTCCATGTGCCGTGCTCCCCCAAATCCGAGCGAAACCAGAGTCCACCTACCAACAATGACACATTCGTACCAAATTTGCCAGCAGGGTACGCTCAATCTGGACCAGGGCGACTCAACAGGGTGAAACCGCCACTTCAATAGATCCGTTACCACGTTTTGGGGCTGGAGTACCCAGCCCACATTTTTTCCTTGCACATCCCGTGATTAGTCAGCTTGGGGTTACTCAAGCTGCCGGCGGCAAATTGCCGCCTTCTCTGGCCATGCCCGCATGTGAGCCACGCCATTGTCCCAGTGTCAAGATGATCATCCAAGGGATGCCGCGGATCGAGGGCGCGTCCTGTCCGGCAGATAATCATCTTCCCGTCATGGAACGACTGTGCACGGACAGTGCGTGTAAGGGTCGGGACGCGCCCCTGGCGCCTTTTGGCTGCCTGCCGCGGCAGGCTTCGGCGTCGGAGGGGATGCCCGCGCGCCGTAGCTAGGTGGAGCAGCCCGCCGGGGCCGGAAGGCATGGATTTCTCGTACAAGTTCCTGGAGGGCAGCGCCAGCGGCGATGAATTGTCTGAGGCTGCTGCATCCCGCGCCAATCCGCGGAGAAGAAAGGTGCGGGGCGCCCGCCTCGGGCGGTTTGAGTTCGCCAACGGTGTTCGGGCCACGATGCGCTCATGCTGTCGGCAGAGCTACGTTTTTGTCCAGAGATCGGTGGACGCCGCTCTGCTGGCCTGCAGGAGCTGGGCTGGATCCACCCTGCTTCCGGAAGCAGGGCAGGCAGCCCAACGAGAGGCTCCACCGTTGAGCAGTTGACAGTATCCTTGCTTCCCGAAAAAGTAGGAATGCATGCATGTTGCCCGCGGTTTCCCGCTGCCCGTGAACCGCAGATTCGGCACCACGCTGGGTGGGTCAACCGAAACAGCCAGCCGGCGGTTGGCCGCCAGCGCCGCGGACAGGGGTTTGCGCGACGCAGGGCTGCCCGCGCC